AACAGAGGCACCCTCGAAAAGCGTTCGCTTTACCAACATTGACTCTATTACTTGTTCTTTATTTATTTGATATGTTAGATATGAAGTATTAAGATAGACATACATTTAATCAATATTAATCTCGTGTTAAATTTCATAATTCAAAATAAAATATATTTTTTTAGTTACTTGAAACAAATCTACATGCTAAATTAATTTTACCACCATGTCCAAGAAGTCAACAAGAATTAAAGCAGGTTTAATATCAAACATAACAGCAAAACTTGCTGCAAACCTTCATATTGATGAAATAGCAAGAAGTGGTGAAGATTAGACTGATGATGCAATAAAAATTGAAGGTGTAAGTTGAGGTGATACTGAAATTGAATTATCACCTAATCTTGTATGTTTTTATTCAAATATTTAAATTATTTGTTTACTTCATAAATATTTTAAAGTTATTTTAATTATTAAGGCGTAATGAACATTGACCAAAATTATTGTATCTACTACTTGGATTAAAATTAGAAAAATTAGTTAGACGCCTTCAAATTGCTTATTGTTTAACAAAAAACGAATAATTTCAAGATGAACAATGAATTGAAATATGTAAAGAATATATTGTTAGTTGACAAATGTCAATGACAAAAACGAAGATTTAGCGAAAGATGATGAAAAACGTTGATATGAATTAGTTGCCTGTTTTACTCATTGACAATTACAATCAATGCACAAAATCATAAAATTAAAATCTGCAGTTAATCAAGCATTTAAATTAAAAATTTATACAACTGCAACAAGCTTCACCAAACGTTTATTGGAATTGGAACCAACACCTGATGTTACTCAATAGATTTTCTGTTTTAGTATTAATCTTTCATTTTCAAACCAAATACTCTCATTCTTTCTTGACTTCAACTTTGAAAGGTTTTAAAATAAACCAAAAAAACAAGAAAGAAAACATATCTTGAATGCTTTCAAGATATTTCAAATCTGTTGATAGAAATTTTTCATGTTTTTTTGATTTATTTGAAAACAATTGAATTTATTCTTTGTTAAATGAAACATAATTTTCGTTCAATTACTTTAGAAGACGGACAAAAAAACAAATAAAAACTTTATTATTATTTTGTTTAGACACGGAAAGTATTAAGTGTTTGTGAAAAAAATCCAATTGATGAACATCCATTAAATTATGATGAATATAATCCATTTAATATTTGTGCAGCATCCAATGTACCACATTTATCGGTAAGAAATATAAAAATTAAATCGAATTTAATTTAAAGTAATCTTTAATTCTTGTTTAGTGAAAATCCATTATCCGGTGCAGCCCATTTAT